TTAATTCAGGATGTATAAGAAATTGACAACAAAAGTCAATCTTAGTCTTATACAAAATCTGTTCACGTTAATTGTGCGATGATAAGTGGGATACTGCTGGTCAAGAAAGATTCCGAACGATAACCAGCAGCTACTACCGTGGTGCATACGGCATTATTGTAAGGATATCCCTCTCCAATATCTTTTCCATGGATATTTTCTTTGCATATATGTGGCATCTGGGGATGGTTATATATATATGCTCCTGGTTTTCTAGATTGTATATGATGTCACCGATGAGGAAAGCTTTAAACACGTCAAGGGTTGGCTGGCAGTGATCAACAAGTTCGCAACTAACAATGTTAATAAGCATCCATGAGCGGATGGATAAATTGATAAAAAACTCTTCCAGTTTAACCAGAAATCTTAGTTTCAAATCCTGAGAATACAATTTTTGTATAAAAATAGAAGATAATATGCAAACTGAATTTCAAAACATAGCAACGAGATACGTATGGAATGAAAATCATAGTGACAAGATAGCACAAGGACATGGCACAAATGACTAGTTCACCTGAACTCTCATTTTACTTTTTTTATTTTTAGCCAACGTTAACCTGAACTCTTAAAATCAGTAAATCAAGAATGAAACGGAAAAAGGGAACAAAAAGAGGGATATACCAAAGACAGAACGTGCACGCTAGCTTGCAGTAAAGTGATTATTTCAAAGAAATATAGAAGACACCATAAACAACACATAAGATACCAATTTTTTTTTTTTTTTTGTTTTGGGAAACAGTACAGAAGATACCGTTCTGTAACCCAAAATAAAAAATGGTAAGACACCATAAATGGTACAAAATCATAGTTCGAAACTTTGAATTCTGGAAGCTCAGAAAAGAACTGTATCAGCTTCCAAACTGACACAATGTTAAAAATGAAATCCCTAAACAGAAATTTTTCCAAGTTAAGTATTATAAAACAGAAATAAAACTATGTCTCCCGATATCTCAGATCAATACAGAGAAATCAAAATCCATAAAACCACAAACAAACAAACAGAACCATGTGATAACTTCCACGTAGCACTACTAAATTCATTTATAGCATTCTCTAACATAGCAAAACCATGTGGTTTTCATTCAGTAGGCCTCATTTTTTCCTTCATTTTTTAGTTCAGTAGATTTCAATTTTTTTAATAAAAAATTAACTTTTTTTTTCTTTCAGTGGATCTCAGATCCATTAAGTTAGAAGGTCTTTTGAGTAGATCTTAATATTTTTTATAAGAATTTTTTCGAAATTTTCCTTTTGTGGATCTCAGATCCATTAAATAATGAGGTTTAATTTATATTTTTCATTCCGGTTTTCCATTCAGTAGACCTCATTTTTTTCTTCATTTTTTCTTTTAGTAGATTTTAATTTTTTTATAAGAAATTAATTTTTTCTTTCTTTCAGTAGATCTCAAATCCATTAAGTTAGAAGGTCTTTTGAGTCGATCTTAATTTTCTTCAAATTTTTCTTTCAATGGATCTCAGAGGCTTTAAATCATAAGGTTTAATTTATATTTTTCATTCTGAGTTTTTCATTCAGCAGACCTCATTTTTTTTTCTTCTGATTCTGAAATTAGATGGTGTAATTGATTTTTGATAATTGGGCCGTGATTTTAGGGCCTTATGGCCCATGTCGATTTTATTGCTTGGGTTTGTCAGTTCACGTTTATTGGTTCGCATCTCACACCAAGCTTAGGGCACGTCTGTAAGCCCTAAATTAATCTCTAAATTAAGAAAATTCTTAATTTAATCTCTAAAATTTTCAAATTTAACCCAACTTGATTCTTCCGCTTAAAAACCCACCTGGCTCGTTAATTAACTGTAGAAGAATGACATGTTAAAAATTTTTAACACATAAAAATAACAGCTTGGATAAATAAATGACATAAAAAAATAATTTGTCATGTTGTTATTGTTTCACAAGACTTAATTATTTAATAATCAAATCATTAGACTTTCACGCATTTTCACCCTCATCCTCTTCTTTATACTTTTTGTTTAAAATTTTAAATACCATTTTATTCCTTCCACTTTTCATTTTAATATCAAAATTATCTTTTAATTTTTAAAAATATCAAAATTATTTTTAAATTTTTATTTTTATATCAAAACGATACCTTCATAAATTAAATAGACAGATATCACGTTATCTTACTAATAAATTAATTATTTTTTTCTTAAATAATGAAATAAAAAAATAATTGATCACCTTTTATATGTGTTGATATTTTTATTTAATTTAAAAAAAATAATATATTTTTTTTCATCCACATCATCTCTTTCTTCTTTTTCTTTTCTTTTTTTGGTTTCGACCAGATATCCGAAGCTTCGCTTCGATTACTTCATACCCGACTCCCATCGCACACTTAAAAATAATAGATAAATCAATTAACGGGTGCTGATGCATACACAAGTTGTCAAACTCGATAACTTACTGGAACAGATCGCTTACCTCTTTATCCGATCCCTCCTTGGTACATCATTTCTTTTTACTCTTTCACTTTCTCTCTTCCTTACCCTTACTTATCCCTTACCTCTGCAAAGCCAGATCTGGGTTCTCTCTCAATCTTTATCTTCTTCCTCCTTTCCTCCTCCCTGCTCATCTTCTTCTTCCTTTCTTTTTTTTTTTCTCTCTCTCTTCTCCATTCTTCTTCCTCTCTTAAACCCAGATCTTAAACCCAGATCTGAGTTTTTCTCAAACCCAGATCTGGGTTTAGTCACATAAATTAAGAAGAAGTTGGTGATAATAAGAAAATGAAGATCGACCACGCGCTTGGGACTGTCAAGTCCAATGGCATCCAGAAAGTTCTCGCTCTCCGTGGAGATCCACCTCATGGCCAGGACAAGTTCGTCAAGGTTCAAGGTGGATTCGCGTGCGCTCTCGATCTGGTGAGCAAACACTTCTTTATGGTTCATTCCCTGTTTCCGCAGATCTGGTTTTATTCAATTGATTCGTGATGCTTGTTTCTAGGTGCAACACATCAGAAGAAAATACGGTGATTATTTTGGTAATACTGTTGCTGGTTATCATTTGTTTGATTAAATTCCTCTTACAAAATTTGCCTTTTGTTTTATTAGCATCTATCTATTTTGCTTTACCAAAAATTAAAAAGATCATTGTTTCTATAAGAATCATATCACCCCATAAATGGGAATTCAATCCAGCTATTGAGATTACTGGTTTTCGTAGTTTGCACTGCGGCGCCGTCGTGCGTTTGCTTGGAGGACCGCCTCCTGGTTGGAATGACTCTGGTTCGAGACGCCGCCGCTCAAGAAGCCTGTAAGCCTTTTAATTTTGTACTGAAAAAAATTGATGAACAATTCGTTTTGTATTTTTATTTTTTTGTGATTTATTTTTAATTTCTGGTTTTGAATATTCACAGTTTGCTTGGACGGCAGTTTGCCGGCACATCATCTCCACAGAGGATTCGGCGCCGGAGAAGACAATTGGCTTCTTCAATTCGAGGTAAGATTTCAGATTTTTTTAAAAATAAAATTAAAAAGAAATTTATGTATTTTAATGCACACTACATATTGAAAGTGTAATTCTCACGCTAAAATTATTAAGTTATTTTAAATTAATTTTAGTTATTTTTAATTAATAAGATCCAAAGAAAGGGACTTACTTGAGGTTCACCTCTGTGAACATCAAGACCGGCTTCAAGTTCGCCAGAGTGAATAGCCGGGTCAGCAGGTTTGCTTTTGTTGGAAGTTGAGGTGGTGGCGGTGAATCTGTGCGGAAGAACTTGATCATTGCGGCCTGTAAATAGACCCTGGTACAGCCTTGAAGATGGTATTGCTGGGAGCGTTGACTGCATTTTTGCTTCTTTTTTGCTAAAGTCGTTTGATTTCTTTGATTGCAGTTGGAGGAAGGAGAAAAGCTATAAAAGAATTTGAGCAAAACCCAAATTTATGTGATGAAACCCAGATCTGGGTTTGGGAGAGGAAGAAGGGAGAAGAGAGAGAGAAAGAATAAGAAGAAGAAAGAAGAAGGATGAGCAGGGAGGAGGAAAGTAGAAAGAAGATGAAGTTTGAGAGAGAACCCAGATCTGGGTTTGCAGAGGTAAGGGAAAGTGAAAGAGGAAGAAGAGATGACTTGGATGAAAAAAAAAATCATTATTTTTAAATTAAATAAAAATGTCAACTCATACAAAAGAGGGTCATTGTTTTTTCCATGTTATTAGTTAAGAAAAAAAGAATTGATTTGCTGGCAAGTTAACGTGCCACCTGTTCATTTAACTGATGGAATGATAGTTTTGGTACTGAAAATGAAAGTTTAGGGATAATTTTGATACTTTTTAAAGTTAAAGGATAATTTTGGTGTCAAAGTGGAAAGTTGAGGGACCAAAATGGTATTTAAACCATTATTTTTTCTCTTTCCATTCTTTGTGGCTAATATTTGCATTTTAGAGGAGGACAGTCCAATTACAACCATTGTTGGTTGGAAATTTGTTCAGTAGTTGAGTTTGATCTAACTGTTTTTATCTTCTCTAGTCTTGACTTATTTGTGTCAATGTAGTTCTTGCTCCAACATGGAAGAAATGGAAGAAATGGAAGACGAAGATCAATAAAAAAGTAGAAGAATGTAAGTAACGATTGAAAAAACTGAGTAAGAAGAATGGTAATGCACTCAAGAAATCTTATATCAAACTCCAAATGGTTATACTCCAGAAAGCTTGTGAAGTTCTCAGTAAACAGTTGGACTCTTTTAAACAAGGGGAAGTGATTCAAGATCTGCCGCCAATATGGTAATCCATGATTATGTTTTTCTACACATTGTGGTTTGCCTGTCTGATTTCTTGTCTCTTTTTGTTTGGAGTCTTAAGGGTTTATTTAGAGTTTCTAAATTTGTACAGCAGTAATATAACATTAAAAAATGAATTCCTTGTATCATGACTTCTTAGATTGCATTGCTTGTGCTTAAGTTTTTCTGTACGGTTATAGTTATACTGAATTTTTGGTATGATGAATTCTTGTTTATACTTAAGTTTTTCTGTATGGTTTGGTAATCCATGTCTATGATTAAATTTTTCTACACAGTGTGGTTAGCTTATAGATCTCTTGTTTGTTTGGAGTTTTAGGGGTTTATTTAGAGTATCTAGATTTTTACAACTGTCATATAACAGTAAAGAATGAATTCTTTGTGTCATAATTTCTTAGACTGGATTTTTGTTTGTGTTAATGCTAGTTTTGAGCCTACCTATTTTATCAAGGACCTTATGATACCATGTACTGATCATGATGAGGAGTTGGGTTGTTTAATTACTAAGTTGGAGGACATTGATAAGGTCATTGTTTTAGCACAAGAGTGGCTGTTATCTTTGATGGGAGAATTTGTGCTTTCATGGAAACACTTCAATAAGAAGAAATCTGTATTAACTGTCCAACATATTCTCTTTACATTTGAGGATTGGTATCATCATTTACTCTAGAGAGTTTCAAAAAGTAGAACAGCAACATACTTGAATCTCTTTTCTCAAGTTTCATGTGTATCCTCTTTTGAGATTCGAAAGCTTTTTTATAACAGATAATTAGTTTCTTGTTCTATATTTATTATTTTTTCAAAGTTTTTTGTTAAAAAATAATTGAATTTAGGTTGCGCACAAAATGGCTGAAAAGTGACATGGAGATCTTATGGGCTATATCAATTTCAAAACTGATATTGAGCTACAACTTTTGATTCCAAGAGGTAAATTCATTATTAGTTCTTTTTGTAGATGTACTAGTTCTTTTTGGAGATATACACTGATCAGCATAAATTTATTTAACTTTTGATCTCAAAAATTCAGGCAGTGGCTGTGGTTCATATAGAAGAGACTTAGAAACTATCAGGCACTTTCTGTTTGTGATTGTTAACAGGAGGCCACTGGAGGAGCTACAGATGGTTAATCAATTGAATTATTGTAACTTTAATGACGATGTGCTCCTTATTTGATGATTTTCTTGAGTTGTTGAATAGTTTTGATGAGCAAAAGTACCATTTAGATTCTTTTTTGTTTGATTTCATTACATTTTATATGATTATTTTACTGAGTTTTTTCGTTTTCAAGTATATTGTAGATGTTGTTCTTAACCCATCTTTTTTGTGGAGTATTGACAAGAAGTTCAAGCATCTAGATGATGCATATATGTTTTTTTTTCAAATGAAGTCAAGACTCAGAAAAATAAATAAGTATCCTTGTTGGCGAAGGTATGTAAGTTTTCAAAAGCTTCCTGAGCATTATGGTTTGTAGCAAATATTAGAGCTCAGGAAGTTTTTCAAAATTCACATACCACGGTGAACAAGAATACTTATTTATTTTTTTGAGTCTTGACTTCATTTCAAAGAAAAACATATATGCATCATCTAGATGCTTGAACTTCTTGTCAACACTCCACAAAAAAGATGGGTTAAGAACAACATCTACAATATACTTGAAAACGAAAAAACTCAGTAAAATAATCATATAAAATGTAATGAAATCAAACAAAAAAGAATCTAAATGGTACTTTTGCTCATCAAAATTATTTAACAACTCAAGAAAACCAAGGATACTTATTTATTTTTTTGAGTCTTGACTTCATTTCAAAGAAAAACATATATGCATCATCTAGATGCTTGAACTTCTTGTCAACATTCCACAAAAAAAGATGGGTTAAGAACAACATCTACAATATACTTGAAAACAAAAAAACTCAATAAAATAATCATATAAAATGTAATGAAATCAAACAAAAAAGAATCCAAATGGTACTTTTGCTCATCAAAACTATTTAAAAACTCAAGAAAATCATCAAATAAGGAGTACATTGTCATTAAAGTTACAATAATTCAATGGGTTAACCATCTGTAGCTTCTCTAGTGGCCTCCTGTTAACAATCACAAACAGAAAGTGCCTGATAGTTTCTAAGTCTCTTCTATATGAACCACAGCCACTGCCCACTGCTTGAATTTTTGTGATCAAAAGTTATATAAACTTATGCTGATCAATGTATATCTTCAAAAAGAACTAGTACATCTATAAAAAGAACTAATAATGAATTTACCTCTTCGAATCAAAAGTTGTGGCTCAATATTAGTTTTGAAATTGATATAGCCCATGAGATCTCCATGGCACTTTTTAGCCATTTTGTGCGCAACCTAAATTCAATTATTTTTTAAGTAACAAAAAACTTTGAGAAAATAATAAATATAGAACATAAAACTAATTATCTAATATAAAAAACCTTTCGGACCTCAAAAGAGGATACACACAAAACTTGAGAAAAGAAATTCAAGTATATTGCTATTCTATTTTTTGAAACTCTCTCAGAGTAAATGATGATACCAATCCTCAAATGTAAAGAGAATATGTTATAGTTAATACAGGTTTCTTCTTATTGAAGTGTTTCCATGGAAGCACAAATTCTCCCATCAAAGATAATTGCCACTCTTGTGCTAAAACAATGACCTTATCAATGTCCTCCAACTTGGTAATTAAACAACTCAACTCCTCATCAGGATCAGTACATGGTATCATAAGGTTCTTGATAAAATAGGTAGGCTCAAAACTAGCATTAACACAAACAAAAATCCAGTCTAAGAAATTATGATACAAAGTATTCATTCTTTAATGTTATATGATAGTTGTACAAATCTAAAAACTCTAAATAAACCCTTAAAACTCCAAACAAACGAGATCTATAGGTAAACCACACCATGCAAAAAAATTTAATCATAGACATGGATTACCAAACCATACAGAAAAACTTAAGCATAAACAAGAATTCATCATACAAAAAATTCAGTATAACTATAACCGTACAGCAAAACTTAAGCACAAACAATATAATCTAAGAAGTCATGATACAAAGAATTCATTTTTTAATGTTACATTACAGCTGTACAAATTTAGAAACTCTAAATAAACCCCTAAAGCTCCAAACAAAGAGACAAGAAATCATACAAGCAAACCACAATGTGTAGAAAAACATAAACATGGATTACCATATTGGCTGCAAATCTTGAACCACTTCCTCTTGTTTAAAAGAGTCCAACAGTTTTCTGAGGACTTCACAAGCTTTTTGGAGCCTAGCCATTTGGAGTTTGATATAAGACTTCTTGAATGCATTACCATACTTCTTGCTCAGTTTTTTCAATTGTTGTTTACATTCTTCTACTTTTTTATTAATCAATTCACAGACCTCATCTTCGTGGCCTCCTGTTAACCATTAGTAGCTCATCAAAGTTATCCAACAGCTCAAGAAAATTGATCAAATAAGGTGGCACATCATCGTTGAAGTTACAGTAATTCAGTTGGTTAACCATCTGTAACTCCAGTGGGCTGATCTTGATATCTTATGAAGTTCAACCGTTGATTATAGTTGGAGGGAGCTAAGGGAAGCACCTTTTTTTTGGGAACCAATACCAGCTATGATTCTGCACCATAGCCAATACAAGGAATTGGACTAAGCCCTTTGGAGGTCCGTCTCAGGTTGGGGATGCGTACGGCATACCACAGAAATGTTGAAAAGCCTGATCTTGCTTTTTGGATTTTGATCAGGGTTGATATCTTATGGGTGTGCTCACTGTAGTTCACATGCTATTTGGAAAGCTTTAGTAGAACTATATTTGAAGGCATGGTATCATTCAAAGTAGAAAGAAGATTGGCATGCAATTGTTGGCATTGAAGTGAATAAGGATTTCCCGATGGGAATGTGGAGTGTGCTTATTGTTTCCATGTTCTTAGGGTACCAATGATATATAAGAACATAAGAGTGGGCTCATCAGCTCTAGACCTTGAAAACTGGAAAAATCTTTGATTTCACGTTTTTGTCTTCTACTTTATTTTGGGTTGTATAATTATAAGTTTATTTTGGGTCCTATAATTATAAAAAAAAAATGTTGTGTTATTCAAATTATATTAGATTGCATAACTATAATTATTGAATGATGACAGTTTTTCTATTGTTGAAAGTCTTTTCCCATCCAATGTTTCATATTTTGCAATCCAGAGTCATTCTAATTATAATTTGATAATGTTTTAGTTTTACTGGTAATCTAGTGATGCTCATGTTAGTTGATACATACTCCTTCAATTCCCCTACGCCTAAAAATTTTAAAAACTGAATTAGTTAACAAAAAACTGGCCATGCCATTATTTAGTGGTTAAATGTTAAATTTGGTTTCTCAACTTTACGAAATACACATTTTTATCTTTCAATAAATTTTTGCACTTTTTTTATCCCTCAATTATACGAAATGCATTTTGTTAGTCTCTCTGTTAATTTGGATCGTTAACTCGCTCATGTGGCATTTTTTATAGTTTTTTTTATGATGTGGCAAAAATCAATTAAAACGTAAATTTTTTTTTATTACAACTCGTGTCAACTCACTTTATTATTATTTATATTTTTAAAAAATAAAATAAAATAATTTTATCCATCTTTTTCATTTCTTTTTTTCTTTTTCTTTCTTCCTCTTCTTTCTTACTCTTCTTCCTCGGGTCTTTCTTCCTCAGGTCATCGAACGGAACCCAACCACTGGTTCGGTGGAACCCAGCCTGGGTTCCACCGAACCCAACTCCACTTCTTTTTTTTTTTGTTTATATGGTTGTTTGCCAAGAGATTATCCAAATTGCAGGTTGTTGTGAGGGATTTTTGGGCAATTGGTTTTTTTTGTTTGTTATATGATTGTTTGCCAAGAGATTATTCAAATTGCAGGTTTTGTTTGCCAAGAGATTATTCAAATTGCAGGTTGTTGCGATGGATTTTGAGACAACTGGGTTCTAGTGAATCGAGCTGGGTTCGATGAAATCTATTTACTAGGTTCCACGGAACCCAGTAGAGCTGGGTTCGGTGGAATCTATTTGCTAGGTTCCACTGAACCCAATAGAGCTGGGTTCGGTGGAACCCAAGCTGGGTTCTGACGCAGCTCTTTTTTTTTTTTTGTTATATGTTTATTTATCTAGAGATTATTCAAATTGCAGGTTGTTGTGAATGATGTTTGAGATTTTTTTCTTCATATTTTTTAAGTATTGTCTAAATGATTTCAATCTTGAATGGAAAGAACATCGTCGACGGAAAAAACAGAAACAGTAATCAATGGGCAAAGAAGCAATTCTTAATGGTGATGTAGGGACTCATTTGAACAGATTTGGCACGTTTTGGCCACGGTAGCATGATATGGCAAAAGTTTTTGTGCACATCATCATTTTTTTAAATTTTGCTCTTCACATCATCAAAAAAAATATTAAAAATGCCACATAAGCAGAGTTAACGGCCCAAATTAACAGAAGGATTAACGGAGTGCATTTCGTATAGTTAAGGGATCAAAAAAGTGTAAAAAATTGTTGAGGGACCAAAAATGTGCAACTCACTAAAGTTAAGGGACCAAATTTAGCATTTAACCTTATTTAGCAAAATTAATGCCAAAAATGGAAATTTGTTATATATTTAATACAATTTGAAAGTAAGGGACCAAATTGCAATTTTAACCTTCTCTGCACAAAACCACACTCTTATTAGGTGAGCAGAAAATGAAATTACAAGATTATTGAGATGTGACGTTATGAGATATGATTACGGTGCCAAAACCATCTTTAGACAAGGAGAGAGAACAAAGAGATAAGAAGCATCGACAAAATTAATCCTAATGGAAACTGGAGTACCTTTGATTCAACAGTGAGTTGGGAAAACTAGTGACAAAATAATCAATGGAAAAGAAAGGAAAAATAAAGAGGGGGGGGGGGGGGGGGGGGCTACACTTGATCTTTAGAACTAAAGGAGGAAGTTTCAAACATGAAAAAATAATCAATAAAAAATTTGATGCGCTGCAAGTTTCAAAAGCTCTTTCCCACCAAGATTTGAGTGAAAATTACTATATTTACTACCTTAAACCTAGTGGCAAATATCCAACATCCTTTAGTTTTGTTGTTGTCGTCATGCTAGCTAGCTACAATCACATTTTCTTCTAACTTCAACCAAGCACAATTTTGAGAAACATTACCATCATCATATCTTCTATTTTTAGAAGAAGATACCAAAAAAGAAGGGGGGCAACAAGAGAAAAATAGAATTTTGGGAGGTTGGAAGGGAGAAGGAGAAAAGAGAAGAAATCAAGCTGCCCACCCAGAAGCAAAAAACAGGTTGCTTGCTTGTAGATTCTGTGCGACAGCCAATTTTCGACCTTGAAGCTATAGCTTGTGCTAAAGATTTATGGGGCACTTCAATTGTGAGAATTGATGTAGCTTTTAACTCAACCGGTTGGTGGGAAAAGTAAAGGATCTTTCTCCAACAGCAACCCAAAAAGGTTAACCAAGCAAATACATTCCCACATTCCCTTCTTGGAATGTCTTATGCACTTGAGTTTTCGGTTGTGTGCCATGCTAAATGCAGCAATTTTGTGGTGAAATCAAAAGAATTTCCATTGGCATCCACTGAAGGGCTTTCTGCTCCTGTTAGGATTTTATCATTAAAAGAAAGAAAAATATATAATGCAAGCTCAATTAATGTATATGTTAGTTCTTTCAACTTCCCCAGGAAGCAAATAAGCATTTAACCATAACTGCAAGGTAACCAAAAGGAAATGATGGAATGAAGAAATCACTGACCTCGCCTTACAACACATGTTATACCACCAAGGGATTTGGAAGGTCTTGAGGGAGTCTGAACTTGTCTACTGCAGCGGGCATTCCATGTTTATGCTTTAACCCAAATCGGGCAGAGAAATCATAATTCATATCATTCTTCAGTTACATTTACCTCATCAGATTTTTGCTAGCTTCCAAAAATTGTTGCCTCATTGCTTCCCGGAGTACAACCAGACACGAAAGAGATTGCTGTATCACATGAAAAATCACCATACATGCCCCCAAAATAACAAACAAAGAAAACAAAGAAATGAAACAGGTAGAGAAGACTTGTGTTAGAAAACAAAACTCTAAGATCCTGTTGCCACTGGCAATCATCACCACTAAGGCAACACTCAAATTTGTCAAAAATTGAATCATTTTCATACAAATCACACAAGTGGAACAATCAAGAACAGAATAATCAGCACCGATAAAACAAAGCACAAATAAACTGATGTTTGTTTGTTCTTTACAGAGGCTAGGAAGTAGGAACCACACCTTAGGTCTCAAGTACTCGTGAACCTGGAAAGTTGCAACAGGACCAGAATCCATGTTGCTGTCCCACCACTGACACTAAAGTAACGAGGGGGTCAGGTTAGGTAACATGAAGAAGTCTAAAATCCCATCCGAACAAGAATGCAAACGTCAAATTGATGTAGCGTTAAGAACATAAACAATGTTCAAGTTAATGCAGCCACTGAAAGTCTTAAAACTGAACGGAAATGCAGACCACGGTACGATATTCAGGACAACAAAGATGATCATGTCTAAGACATAAGAATGCCAAGCATTAGTCAGATAAAATACACATATATTGTCTCAAGGACCCAAAATTGAAATTAAAAACAGGATGTAGCAAACCAGAATACCAAATAATAGAGAGAAATGAAAAGAATAGGAATTATGAGTAGTGACCTTACAAAAAAATCCAAGGAAACTCATTCTCGGAAACTCAACAGATAATAACATATCAACCACTAAGGAATTAAACATTTTTTCCTCCCCATGTGAGTACCTAGGACCTCTTACCCATCTTATTGTTTCCCTCCAAGGCTAATGTTTAAAAGTTCAAATCAATGTCGAATATGCATATGTTTGGAACTTCAAATCTGAAGCATGCTCCCACCCATAGGCATACCTTGTTTAACATCTAATTTTCTTCTAATCTTATTCCTGTTTGACTAATGACTCCCTTGGCTTCTGCTCTGCAGATTTTGCAGGAAAAAGGATCATACCACATGCTAGTTAAGCAACAAATACAATTAACCACACAATTTAGAATGATTCTTTTCCTATATTTTGCATATCAGTACATAGAAAATATGTTCATAGAAGGTCATGGCAGCTTTCATACTTTCTGGACATCATATGTCATACTTATTGCTTTCATACCCTCACAAAATCAAATACAATGTACAGAGAAAAAGGTTACAGATTGAATTAGACTCAATCATTGCGATTTGCTTTAAAAAAGCAGGCCGCATGTGTCACTAGAAATACATGTATTGCAAAGTTTAGTTCCATACAAAAACCAGACATCAATATTGCAAATAAAAGCCAAACCTTCAGAGTCATATAATCACGACTAAGTATATGTCTTAAATGAAACGTGCAAGTATTCCATATTCAAATATTAGTTTTACATATTGTACACTGAGATGACTAAAGATTCATGCTTCACTTTTTCCCAAGGGATTGATTTCCAATTTGAGTAGGAAAATGTTGATGCTTTCCTGAGACAGCCTGACGGTTCATTGTTCAGTTGGTGTGAGAGTTTCCAGTGCTACCACCATTTAATATATGCAACAGTTAGTCATTATATCTACAACATCTAAATTTAACATTGCTTCTGGAAGATACAATAAACAATACAGAAGCATTGTTTAAATTCTGGAAGCTAAGAAGCCAAGTGTAACAAGTATATTTCATAGAAAGAGACCAAAAGTAGGTCCTTCTTAGGTCTTACATGTTAGTGCTTCATCACTGCAGGTTCAGAAAATTTTAAAACCTGACTTTGATATAAGCAGCAGCATAAAGTCAACAACCAGAATTTCTACTCCCAGGACAACACATGTACCATTACCAATAGGCTCAAATAATTGATGGTATGTGGTTGGGTTAAAAAACGCTGCTTTCTGTTTTAAATCCCAAACGTATCTGTTTGGCAGCTACTTTTACTTGAAATAAGAAATCAAACAATAAATAAGGAGGGAACACTTATTCATGATTAATTGGAGCAACCTAGACGTGCTATGGATAATCCAATTTGACACATTATAACATAACTTCACTTTGAAAATCATTATTTCACACTCATAATTCTCCGAAAAGACTAAATGAACAAGCTCCAACCGATGACAACTGATTTACAAACAATAAATAGGCAATCAAACGATCAATAGGGAGGGAACGATCATTCATGATTAGAAGAACAAGCTAGATATGTGCTACGGATAACCCGGTTTGACACATTATAAAATAATTTCACTTTGAAAATATATGACACTAATAATTTTCCAATAAAAAATGTAAATTGAACAAGCTCCAACAGATGATAACTGATTTACGTGGTTTGCTACAGCCTTGACCATCCTGGGGAACTCTTCTCACAAGAGACTTGTGAATCAAGTTTGCAGGTTTGTTCTGTCTCTTCTCTTAGTAGTTGCAAGCAGAACCAACTGATCCCTGCTCCCAGGCTGAATGGTAACTGTTTTCTTGTTTGCCAAACCTAATACATTGAATACACATTATACAGTCAACTGCAAACACCCCAAAGAATTATGTTCTCCCTATTTCACTCAAATTTCCTGCTTGCAAACTGACAACATTGTCGACCAATTTTAAGGAAATGAAAACCCAAAACAGAAAATTTTGTATTTTGGTGTTATAAACCAGAAACAAAACATCTCCACCGTATCTCAGATCAAGAATGCTAGACATTTACACAGAAAAAACCCATGATGAAACTTCCACATGACAACACCAAATTCATTATACATTCTCCAAGATAACTAAATATAGCAGACCAGAAAAGGGATGTCTTCTCTTGCATCCACAAAAACCAAACATTCATGAACAAAACAGGAAAAAAGAAAGAGACAGGACATGCCAGAGTGCTTGTAGGAGTTGAGATTGTAAAGATTGTTGCTTTCTTTGCTAAACTGAACGCTAGAAGATCCACTACAGAACTGCTTCACTAGAAAAGAGTTGTTCTTCTTCACTATCTTCCAAATCAAGGGCGCCGGGGCTGTCGCCATTGCCTCGGCCTCCTCTGCACTTTCACTCAAAATACAAATCCTGGATCAGGTAAAAGCTCCGCAAGAGAAGCAAATTTCTATATCGAGTTCAGAGAAAGTGGGGGAGGGAGACATGAGTGTTTGCGTCCAATGTATGGTATCGGTTTAATTGCTGTCTTGCCTGCTGACTCTTAGCACGATATTGTTTATTGAACCCCAAATTTTAAAATAACATCAATTAGTCCCTAAAGTTTATTGGCTCAGGAGTCAGGACGTCTTTCTATTTTTTCTTTTCCTTTTTTTGGGAAGGGGGGGGGGGGATTTCTACCCAAAAACGTTTGACTTTTTTTCAAAATATTAATTGATCAGTTATTTTTTAAAATCTTAATTAAAATATTTTTAGGTTTGAGTCCCCAAAAATAATTGAAAAGACCTCCCTGTGCCAAATACTACCTAATACTAATACTGTAATTTACTAGTCTTAAATCTATCTTGCAAAATTCGTAGACATGTCTTGTCAAGGTGCAGGAAAAGGTTGTCCAAAATCATAAATGTAAATTTAATCCAGAGATTGCAATTTTTGGTTGTAAAAAGTTAAAAAAAGAACTGAATGTGAAATGACAACAACATTGAAAAGGAAACTTGGCACAAATTGCTAATATGTCCAAATCTAAAAGGTACATTGGCAAAATTTAAGTTATTGCATTGGCCTCTAATAAACCTGAATCCATGAATTAAAAACCTAAGAACAGGTCATTAATATACCTATTAGCAGACCACCTCCTTTACACCTCAGCTAATGTTACATGTATATACAGAACCAGAGAGGCCTACCATCAAATTGTACAGAGGTTTTATACCTGTAGGGTATTAAATCTTTTGATATGGAACAAGAGACTCTCTAGTTAAATAAAATCCCATGAAAACCAACCACATTCGCCAATAGGAGGAACCTTATCAAGGCCAAATTCATGGGTTCCCTGGTATTAAAGCGCGGTGAGTGTGTCGTGCTGAACCATTCACTGCTTCATTTATTCTACTGAATACTAACTTCAAGGGAACACAAGCTATGACAGGAGCTTTAGGCTTATTCATCGTAAGTTTCCTGTTGGATTCACCAAGCTGCTTCTGAACACTCAGTGAAGACAATTTCCGTATCTTTTTGTTGGACAAAATCCCGCTTTTCCTTGATTTTCTAGATTTACCTGATGAGAGGCGTGATTGCAATTTCATACGCTTTTTAGTAACTCTCCCAACGTCAGAATTTCTCATGGCTACATGACCAACTTCAGTTACATTGCATTCATTGCTATAGCCACCATCATTCAAAACCTCAACTGTTAGCGGGTGACCAACAATGGCTTTGCCATTCAATTTACTCAAAAGGGAAACCAATGGAACATCTTGTGGACGGTACCTAGGATCTGCCTCAACCTTAACATCATATAATGAAGAATCACCAGAATAATTTCTAGCTGGAAAATCAGCAGTCTGATATCTGGGATGAACTGCATTGCGTGACATGCGGTAGGGAAGTGACCTTTGAGAGGCCATAGAACCATCAGGTAGTAATTTCAGTTCAGCTGCTCGAGAAACAGACTTCCATTCAGGGAATCCATCAATCTGACCTTCCATAAGTGGTTTAAGCCGTGCTGGTGATGTGCAAATGTTTGTCGAGATAGGCTCACCAACTCCATTGGAATCAACTTTCTGATCAGAACCCTGAGGGAATCCATTCAAGTGTTCTAGACATGCCAAATAAGCATTTGGTTCGTCATCCATGTCAACATATTTCCTCAAGTCTGGTTTTCTATTTTTACTTATTTGTCTTGAATTCCTCTTCCCTTTCAACTGCCACTTTGAAGTATCTCTCTCTATTCTCTGGCTAATGTTAACATTAATAGCTTCTGTCTGGATAGAACCTAGTTCATCATGTCCCTCATTTACAGCTTTAATACTGTGACTTGATTGCCTTCCCAGACAACCAACATTAGGTGTGTCAGATGAACAAGACACAAATATAGGAGAGAAATCTGCAAGAATCAGATGATTTATCAGAGTAAGGGTTAAAAGAACCATGCCTAGGTACCAAAAAACCATGAACTTGTAGCAGGAGTTATATGATGAAACATTTAGGCAATCAGATAAACTGCCTTTTTGCTACACATTGACACACATAGATTATCAGACAAAATACTTAATTACAACTCTCTTTTAGCAGTAGATAGAGACTATGTTTGCAGTAAGTATCATTTTCAATTAATCGGGTTAATCTAGAAACCAATTCTGGTCCAAGGAAAATGCAGCACAGTCACAAAAAGATTTTCTTTAAAAAAAAAATGAATGAAAATTAAATATCATTAAAATTTTCAATAGTCATTGTATGTCCATCAAAAACTAACATGGAAGACTTTAACGGAAGCACAGATCTATGAGTTTCCTGTGTATGCACGCTTGTATTAACATGAAAAGTACCCAAATTAAAACCATGGAAAATAGTGAATCTAAATGGAGAAAGCTAACAGCTGAAGGTTTCTTTCTGGGAGTTGAATGACACTGATTCTTTTAAACATATGTATGATATCTGATTCTCTGTCCAAGTAAGGTCCAGAAGGGATCACCAATTCACCAGCTGGTCTATCCAATTTGCCTGTCACCATCATTCCCTTAGTAGCGAGCACAAGTATTTAACTCAGAACAATGCATTCCTTCTGATTTTGGAAGGGAATAGAAGGCTAGGTATTGAACTCCAACTCAGCAATCTATGGTTTGCCAATTCTATTAGTAAATATTTTTAAAAGTTCATTAATTTATTTTCATTCAGAGAATAATCTAAGAAAATGAAACTCATGACAACATGATGAATGCATATCATGCAAGTTCAACAGACTCAATAACACATGGAAACAATATTTTACTTCCATTCCCAAAAAGAGAATGTGAGAGATGCATAAATCAGCAAAGAGATAATAAAGACCAAAGGATACTGAATTCACAATCAAAGAATGTTCAAAATAAAAGAGAAATTAATCTCCAGTGTAGGTAGTGATGTGTTAACCTAAAGTCAACACAATGAAACAGCATAGGGCAAAAGTGCTGACTTGCACACAGTATAAACCTCTTAAGAGACAAGTCAAATAATAGCACCCAATAAAGTAATAAGAAACATGAGATTTCAGAAACTTATAAAAGCAGTACAACACTTTATGCACATAAAAGATACAGATAATAACTGGTAATGTATGATCAAGAATACCTGCAGAGGGCTTATCTTCCCCAACAAACGGCACATCAAACAACCTGTCGGATGAATCATTTTCAGCTACCCCTGGAATGCTGGAAATCTCATTGTCCCTTGTTTTGTTATTAACAAGAGAATGAGATGCAGTGCCTCCTTGTTCAGAAGCATTTAAGGATACAGCATTCTCACATGATACTCCTGTGCTGTCTGAGTTATTACTGTTATTTGCCATAGACAAACTTCTCCTTGACTCATTAGAATCTATTCCAGAAACCTTGCTGTCAGAAAGTCCCCTAAGGGGTGAACCATTTGAGCTTGGAAGTTCATCACAAATGACTGGAACAGACACCATAGCAGTACTTTCCAACACCTTTGTCAATGGTCGGCGACGATTTTTCCTCTTCAAATATTCATGAGCATTTGCCACTCGAGATCTTTTTCTTTTCAATGATGAGGAGCAACCCCTGCTACCATTCATGGCACTTCCATTAGGCATGCAATTTCCTGTATTTGAATCATGAGGTGAAGCATTGTCTTGTTGAACATGCTCCAGCACTGCCCCAGCCTGGACCTTTGCTCTCGACACTACACCCATACCCAGGTCCTCAAGTCCTCTCATTCGCTTGGTTCCTTCAGTTCCATCATCCTCTGAGTCATTTGGGGTTCTTCTTCGCTTTCCCTGAACAGCTTGCACCTTTGAAGTACCTATGTGATTAGGCTCTTCAAAAGATATACCAGATTGTGATAATTCTGGGGCAGAATCTGAATCATTTTCAGATTCACTCCCTTCATCAGTCATATCCTGATTTTCTTTTCCAGAATGTGACATGCTAGGTGATTCTCGGGCAGAAGCATTATCCTCACCACTTGAATTGTCTCTTCTAGAGAAATAATTTGGATGATCCTTCCCTAGCCGTGCACTCTCAATCTCAAGAGCATGAAGAATTGCATCTTCTCTTCGAGCATATTTCACTGCTTTCTTATTAGAACTTGCGGCCGAGGCCTTTGCTTTGTCAATACATTCATCATACTCCCCACAACGAAATGCCTTCACCCTTTTAGACTTTTCAAGATTATACCAGTCTCTAAAGCAGAAAGAAATAACAATCAGTATACAAAACAAGCCGAAAAAAGGGAAAAATATATGAAGACTACCTAATCATAAACATCAACATGTTAAAAAGTTCAATCGAGTTTCAGATTTAACAATTCTTTTGAAAATTTTCTGCATTACGCAGATTTACAGACAAGGTCAAACACTCATCCTCAGACGTTCTTTCCAGCAACTATCAGAAGAACCAAAGAAAAAGCTTTTAAAAACTACAATAAGTAAACTAAACCTGGTTCTATGTACAGAAATTAGAGGGAAAAGAAACTTGCAAGATTTTAAGTACTAAAAACAAAACTCACATGCTTGCATCCTCACGGCCTAAAAGCTTAACCGGAGTACCGGATCTCGGAGAAACCAAGCAACCTTCGGAGAGCTCGTCAAGGCCCATAATCCGACCTGGCCACCATGAACCATTACGGCGGCGGACCCAAACCAACCCACCCACAGACGCATCAATGCCCTTACTTTTTGGCTCATCAGAACTCCCCATCACAAACCACAAAAATCCCCAAAAAAACAGATGCCGAAGACAACAGCCTGATCTTTAGTCTCAAAAGCAGACCCGAGTCTCCAAAATCCCAACAAGACTCGATTCCTGGTTAAATGCATATGCCCCTTCAACCAAAAACAGAAAAAAAACAGCAGGAACCAAAAAAATCAGTGACAGAAACCCCAATCCTGCATGCAATCAAAAACCCACAAAAGAAACATTCGTTAAAAAAAAAAAAAAAAAAACCCAAAACCCCAAGAACTACAGTATTAAAAGACACCACTGAACATTCCTGGGCCGAAATAACCCCATAGAAAAACAGTCAAAGAAAAAACGTAAAAGAAACGGAAAAAGGGAGATCTGCTTCTATAGGAGTCCCCGTTCTTAAAAATGCTTTCTGGATTTTGTCTCCTGCCTCAATTCATATCTTTCGTTTAGGATTCTACCGCATGAATCAGTGAGAAAACTTCACTTTTTTTCCTTCTGTTAAAGCTTTTGTAGAACCATCTTAAGTGCAGCTTTTTCCACCCTTTTTCAAAGGATGCACGAAAAGGGAGTGGGAGTGTAAGACACAGAGTCAGGGAAGACGATGAACACAGAAAAATGGGGTTTCCATCCGGATCAAAAACGTACCTTTATGGAATCTTGCTTCCACCGCCGGAGATAGGAGGAGAGAAGTGGAGGAGGCGTTTGATGTAGAGAAAAAAATTAAAGACGGGATTTTGTGCATACGGTTGTATAATATGCAATTTTTTTAAGTTAAGCAGCGTAAGGATCCGGGATGGGTTGGGTCGTCGGGTGGATCCACGGATGTTGATTTGCGGGTTTTAATGTCTGCGCATGTTCGGATACTACAAACGACTGCATAGCATCAGAGCCAATTATCAAAATAACCACAATAAATA